ACCCCACGCTGGGATTGCTCCTCACGGGCCGTTATCACCCCAAAAGTGCTGGTGTGGGACAGCTGCGTCCCGCGATGAAACGAGGTTTGGGGGGGGAGACACCCCGAAAGGCTGGGGCTCGGCCAGAAAGCAGCTGCACCCACCACGGCCGGGGCTTTCCGGGGTGCTCCCACAGCACAGCCTGGGCTCGCAGGGCTGGAAACCCCCCCGCCTCCTCCAGTTGATTGTTTTAATCCATCTTCTTCCCGGCTGCCCTGGTTTCCACACTAATTACATCCTATAAAACATATTAACAGCCCAACGACCAAGGGTTGTGGGCACAGGACACCCCACATCCAGGAGCTGGTTTTCCCAGCATGCCCTTTCCCATAAAGCCAGGGCGCTCCCACGGCTCTGGCGCTGCTCCCCAGGTTGGATATCCACAGAGGTGGATCCAAAACCCAACCTCTCTCCGGGAAGGGGCCCCCACGGATTCTGCGCCTCGCAGCTGCCCTGGTGGGTGTGGGACGGGGATGCTGAACGGGCATCAGGGCATCTCCGGCGCCGCGGTCCAGCATGGTTTGTGCAGAAATAAAGAGGAGGAACATCACCCCTGGGGTCCTGCATCAGCCCCCCCGTGCGCATTCCAGGGCTGGCATCACCCTTGCAAAGGGATGAAACCCACGGGGGTCCCTGCCAGCTGTGCCCAACCCCAAAAGCAATGGGGGGAGGGGGGGAAGCAGGCAGAGTGGGGTCCCCGCACCCCAGAAAGGGGAAGTGGTGCCTGGATGGGGCTACAGCTGGTTTCCAGTAACACCGGTCCCAGGCAGGGCCACCCACGGCAGAAACCGGTCCCCCTGTGCCTCGGACCACAGCCGGGCAGGGTACGTAGAATTTTTGCATTAAACTAGAGGAAAATGAGTAAATAACAGTGAATTCAGGCAAGGGCGGGTGCAACCTCAGCGCTCACCCTCTTTGCTCTTCTTTGAGCCCCTTGAGCTCTGCGGGGAGTGGCAAAACAACCCCAAAAAAGGGATTTGCAAGGAGTTTTACACATTTATTACCTCAGGAAGAGAGTGGCGGTCACAGGATTTCGGATTCTTTCCCCTGAGGCTTCTTGCTTTCAAGGAAATTTCCCTTCTTTCCAGGAACTTCTCCCTACCGCTTCCTGGGAAGTTCTCCATGGTCTCCTAATTGCCTGTTGTTTTCCAAGAAATTTCCCCCTTCCTTCCTAAGAAATTCCCTGTCACTTTGCAGGGTATTTCCTCACTGTTGCTTTCCAGGAAAATTCCTCCCTTGCTTCCTGGAGGATTTCCTGGTTGCTTCCCAGGGCACCCCACTGCTTCCAAGGACTTTGCTCTCTGCTTGGAGGACTGCTGTTGCTTCCTAGGAACTTCCCCCGTGACTGCTGCTCCCTGGAAAGCAAGAAGTTATTTCCCAAGAAACCTCATTCTTCTTGTCCAGGAAATTTCCCTTTTGATTGCCAGCACTTCCTTCTTTCCTTTCTGGGAAATTTCCTATCGCTGTTACTTTCTTAAGAAAGTGTCACTTTTGCTTTTCAGCTAGTAATTAAGGAGATTTCTGCCTCTGATTTCCAGGCTATCCTCCCTCCGGCCTTCTAGGAAGTTCCCCCATTGCTTTCTACAGGTGTCCAGAATATTTCCCCCTTTGCTTTTGAGGAATTCCCCGAGTGCTCTCAAGGAAATTCCTACCTTGTCTTGCAGTAAACCTGCCCTTCGTTTCGCTGCAGCTTTCTAGGATGGTTTCCCTTCGCTTCCCCTCTTGGTTTCCACACCATTTTCCTTTTGCTTTGTAGGATTTTTCCCTCTTAGGAAATTTCCTAATTGCATTCCAGGAAATTCCCCCAGCCAAACCTGACTTACGGCAGGGGTGTACGGCACCTCCAGCACAACGTTATCTAAGGGCAGTAAAGCCCACAACACCCCAACAAACTGGAGCCACGGCGAGGGCAGACACAAGGGACAGGGTGACACGGGACAAGGTGCGACTGAGAAGGGCCTGGGGGCCGAGGAGGACCCTGTGCCAGAGGGACCAGGCGGGACACGCGGAGTTGACCCCAGGGAAGGAAGCAGAGTTGTGTTTCTCTAAGTGTATTTACTTTTATTCCTCAACACTGCAATCAGTGCTTCGAGGTTTCTGTTAATTAGCGATTAATTAAAGTCGATGGGGATTCTCCCATTTCATACTCATATTTTTTGGCCAGCGAGGACCCTGCCTGCCTGGGGGGCTCCCACGGGGCCACAGTCACTACCTCCTCCCACCTCCCCATGTCCTCCTGACTCCGGGACAAGTCTAAGCAGCTAAAAATCAGCCTCATTCAGGTCACCAGCTCCAACGTGGTGGAAGAAGAGCTGGAGATTTCAGAAGGAAGAGTCAGTTTTGTAAAGAGGTTTTTAAAAGCATCCAGAAGGACAGGGAGAGCTTTCCCTGAACTTCAACCCTTCACCGCACCAGGTTTTCCTCTGAACTAACTCCACAGTACAAACCTGCACCCCAGGCACCCCCCCTCCCCGGCAGCCACAATCACCCAGCTCCAGGGGCGACCTTTGCAGGCAGAAGGGAAGGCAGAAACCCTACTACTTTTATCCACGAGCTTTCTTGTAAATCACAAGGCAGCAAGGAATGAGGCACTTGAATAAAAAAAAAAAAGAAAAAGAAAAAAAGAATCTTTCTCTTTTAATCCACCCAAGGGAAATCCAGAGCAAGAGCAGCACCACAGCACTACACACAGCACAGACATCTATCATCGTCTTTGCACAGATCCCTTCCCAGGTACACAGAGAAGTCATTAAGGGAAAAAAAATAAAAAACAAGAAAAAGAAACAAAATTATTCACATACGCAAAGTGACAAGCAGCGAATCAGCCACAGAACAACTTCTTTCAAAGAGAAAACGAGGAAGAAGGCCCTCAACATACAGGTTTTGCCAAAAACTCCTTTGTCCGGAGAACAAAGCAGAAAGAAGGAATGAAAAGCGAATTCCACCTGTTTAATTCAAACACCGACGTCAGGTGGGTTGCACCAAATGGAATAAATAATGGAGAAGGTCACGCGGGGTTGGCAGATCTCACACTTCAGATAATTAAAATTAGAATTAATTACACAGCCCAAGGAGTATTGAACAAGGAAGTCCTCTGACAAGCGATGGGGCAGTGTCCCTTCGGTGTAGGTGTGGATTTGACCCCTCCCACCCAACCACGATCACCACCCCAAAAGCAAGCGGAATGCTGAGGGTTGGATCCAGAGGACTCCACCTCATCATCACGTACACGCAGCCAGCTCCCGGCGCGGGAACCCTCCGCCTCCCCGGCACCAGCTGGCTGCAAACACACCCAAGTCAAACATCACGGCAGGCCCAGACCCCGTGTTTTCACCCTGCGAGGGGAGCACGCAGGCCCGGCATCGCTAACCTGGCTCCCAAGGTTGGCACCTCTTTTCACACACCGGGGGCCAGACTGGGATAAAGATTAAAATCAGCTAATCTGTACCTGCGGCCACTTTATCACCCCGGGAGGCAGGCTGAAGGAATGTATGTGGTTTCTCGTCATTTCGTTTTCCCCTCCCCACAACCCCATTAAAAAACCAAACAAAACCAAAAACAAACAAACAAGAACAAAAATAACTTGATCCCAAAGTTCCTTTCCCTCCCCTGCCTTTGGCCAAGCAGTGAAGCACCTCTGGAAGTTCGTGTGATCCCACTGTGATCCCATGTTCCCTACAGAGCAGACATCCCACCCCTGCACCTCACCCGGCTGTGCGTGTGACACCTAGTTATCTCCCTTTGCTTTAATACAACAACTACAAACTCAACAGTAATGATCCCCTTTCCCTGCCTCTGGTCTGCAACAAGTTCATCTAAGTCCAGCTTGGTTTTGAGAAAGGGGAAAGGGAGGGTTGGGGCTTTCCAGGCCAAAGAACTTGCCAAGATCCAGCATTCCCCCTACCGTGCCTCCATCGGCGATGAGATGAGCCCCCTTGGCGCAGTGCCCCCTCCTTGATCCCGGGCCAGCAGAACCAAGGAGGGGCTGAGGGGACACGGCTGCCCCTCCAGCTCCTCCTCAGGTGGCTAGCAACTCCAGGAGGACAGGGGGACTGGGGTGGATGAGGCTTCAGGCTATTTCTTTCCCATCCCTCTTCCTCCCCAAGGCTGGGTCTGCAAGCCCAGCCTGTGCTTACCAGTGTCCTTAAGAATGACAATTTAAAAACAGAAAAAGGAAAGGAAAAAATATGCATCATTAGGTATTGTCCGTGGAAGGAGCGGGAGAGGGCAGGTTCCAGGCTGAGACAGAAAAGGGACTCCTCTCCCTCCCTGCGTTTGCTCATCTGGAGACCACGTCCCCTCGGCATCCCTGCGCGAACCCTTTGTGCTGTTGCTCTGACATCGATTGACAGGGATGATGAACACGGGGACGAATTCAGCGCTGCAGAGGGCAGGAGGGCACAGACAGACGTGCCAGGGCTAGGCCCGGTGCTTGGGGAGCATGTCCAGCAGGAACTCCGCAATGCCAATGAAGTAGACGACTTGTGCGATGCCGAAGAGAGGAGCAATGACCAGGGCTCGGCAGTATGCTCCTTTCAGGAAGGCCATGGGCCCTTCCTTCTGCCAGATCTTCCTGGGGAGAAAAGACACAGGCAGGTAAGCGTCCATCCCACCCCTTCACCACGCCAGGAGAGCCTCTGGCCATGGCCTGGCTTTCTGCCTCCCCCCAGAGGCTAAACAGCTGCTGCCTGGTGCTGCCTCCACAGCAGATCATCCACCATCCGACAGTCACAGGATGGTTTGGGTTGAAGGGACCTTAAAGACCATCCAGTTCCAAACCCCCTGCCATGGGCAGGGACACCTTCCACTAGACCAGGTTGCTCCAAGCCTCATCCAGCCTGGCCTTGGACACTTCCAGGGATGGGGCATCCACAGCTTCTCTGGGCAACCTGTCCCAGTGCTTCACCACCCTCTGCAGGAAGAATTTCTTCCTTATAATTTTTTCCACATCCCCCATGCGCTCTGCGAACGGCCATGCAGGAACGTGCCCCACCCCTATGTCTGGCCAGGGGCAGGAGCATCCGCCTGGGTCTGGAAGTGCAGCTAAGACCACCACATCAACAGGTGCCCCTGTCCCAAAGTTGGGGTCACCCCCTCAGTATGTGACACAGCCAGATGGCAAGAGCCTGGCTACATCCGCCACACGGAAACGGAGAGCTTGTGTTTTGGAACTCCCTTTGTGCTTTGAAGCAGCCAGACCACAGTTAACAAAGGGTCAGAGAGGAGCACGGCTGGGGCCACTGCTCCTGCAGCTGCTGCTCAGAGCGGTCCCACGAACGATCCGAGATGCTGGAGGATTTTCAGACAACAGGGCCTTGGGAGAGACAACCACAGCATCTCCTCCCTTTGCAGAAATAAAACCTCAGTGTTATAACTGCTGGGGTTTGGACAGACGCATTTAAATATAAATGCTGTATTTACTTTGCTCAAAATAGGAAGAGGTTCTTTTTTATATCCTATATGAACAAGTGTATATCTGGTTATGTATCTATCTGTATAGACAGATGAAAGCACAGGCTCAGCGGGAACCTGAAACAGAAGCTGCTGGTCGGGTGTAGGAGCTGCAGCGAGCCTAGCAGCGGCAGCAGCTGCTGTACCCGTGATGTGCCAGCCTGCTTCACGAGGAGTCTTACTTGGTGCAGTCCAGGATCCCTGAGTAGGTGTCCTCGTTCACTCCTCTCTGCAAGGACTGCAGCCGCGTTTTGATCACTGGGGAGGAGGAGAGACAGTGGTGAGCACTGGGAATGTAGCCCGCTCGTCATCGGGTAAGAGCCACCCTGAGAGTGACGTCTCTGAAACAGTCTAAATGGCATCACCAAGAACAGGGACCATTTTCATACGTTTATCAGCAAAACAGGGGAAAACAAACCTATTCCTTTACAAATGGATAAAAGGCAGACACAGCTACCCAAAACCAACCCCCTCCCTGCACTGTCACCAAGGCTGACTTAAGCTTTTAACTCTTTCCAATTCAGATATCTTTCTGCAAAGTGGGAGCTGATTTTCAAATACTCATCTCCTTCTGGAAGAAGAGATAAAACAGACAACACTGCTCTTAGATTTCCTCACACCTTGGAGCATGTGCAATGTTAGGGAGAGAGGAGTTACTTTCTGGTGGTTTTCACAGCAAAGAAATCGAGGTGGTATTTCAGGCAGATGCTGTAGAGCAGGAAAAAAGGCCACAGATTTGAAGCTCCCCCTGGTTGTCCATGACCATATGTATGTAAATGCTCTGCCTACTGCCACTCCGCATGGAAACGTGCTTTTTCAGGGGCACATTCACAGCCATTCCTGCAAAAACTGACTGAAAGGAATGACACCCTCTTCCTGACTTGCCTAGCGAGTACTGCAAAGCTCTGCGTGAGCTGTGGCCAAAGGTGTAGGTCAGCTGAAGGAAACTTCATCTGGGCTGGAGACAGAGCTCCCCTCCTGTGCCCCCCTGTGTGCTCATGCTGTGAACAGGCTGGCATGGTCCCCCTCCTCCCCACCAAGCCCACCCGTGGGCCTCTGACTCCTGTCACGTGGTGCCAGGCCACCAGCAAAGGCTACTCGGGACTCACCATCGCAAGGGTTGACAGCCACCGCAGCCGTGCTGCCGGCCACACACCCGGAGAGGAAGGACACGTAGAACGGAGCCTTGGCACTGGGGTCCTTCTGGCCCAGCTTGTTCAGGTTTGCAAACAGCGGGAAGTAAACAATGGAGAATGGGACATCCCTGCAGCAGGGAGGAAGGAAGGGGAAGAAAGAAGAACAAGGATGAGCAAAGGCAGAGTGAGACAGCAACAAAGTGAGCATCAGAGGAAGGGCTGGAAGCATCACACGATGGCAGCACAGCCACGAGCCTGACACAGACACCCCAGCTCTGCACCTGCAGTGCAGAAGTGAGTCAGAACTCAGCAGGGGCAAAACTGACCGCACAGAGGACAACAGGCTCGTGGAAGGCATGCAGCCCTCCAGAGTCAGTGGCTTCCCTCCGATTTTTCAACACTCAGACCGAATCCCCAGCACATTTGGAGGTCAATCATTTTGTCCACTTCTGTTAATTGTGAGAGGTTTGCATCCTGCCCCCATCCCACTGGGCGTTGCTTTAGCTCTGCCCTTCTGAAAGCTGGGGGAGAGTCGCTCTGTGAAAGCCTAGGTGAAGAGTGTCAGTCCTTGCATCCAGCCTGCTCCATGGGACAGAACCTGTTTCACACTCCGTAGACTCAGGCTGAGAGTTTTGCTTTACTAGCTCACAAGGATTTCTCAACAGTGTTAAAATAGGGACCACAGGGGAGAAAAAAAACCCTCCTACAGAAAGCCACAAACTAAATTATCCAGGAATAAAAATCATAGGTTCACAGAATGGTTTGGGTTGGAAGGGACCTTAAAGCCCATCTGGTTCCACCCCCCCTGCCATGGGCAGGGACACCTTGGTTGCTCCAGTGCTCATCCAGCCTGGCCTTGGACATTTCCAGGGATGGGGCATCCACAGCTTCTCTGGGCAACTTGTGCCAGTGCCTCTGCACCCCCTGCAGGAAGAACTTCTTCAGATACCTGAACTAAATCTCCCCATTTTCAATTTAAACCTATTACCCCTTGTCCTGTCACTACAGGCCCTTGTAAAATGTCTTCCCCAGCTTCCTTGTAGCCCCTTCAGGTACTGGAAGATGCTATAAGGTCTCCCTTTAAAAAGGCAGCCTCCCTCGCTCCCCTGGCCTTCCCTTCGTTAATGCACAGAACCTGTGCACAGAAACCAAACCAAATCAAACCCACACCCCCCTTGCAGGCTTATCCTCTTGATGGCTGGCGCTTTAGGTTCGAGACTGGGAACAGCAGTGCCCCGTGCTTGAGCCCAAGCCATCCCACCCTACCTTAGCAGCGTGGCTCCCAGGCCCTTGTAGAGTCCCGCGATGCCTTTGCTCCGCAGCAGCTCCCTCGTTATCTGTGTTGCTGTGGTGCGCGTTTCCACCGCTGGTTCCGCCGCCCCCAGCGCGGAGGAAGAGGAGAGCTGGGCCTGCGCTGCCATCAGCTTCTTCTGTGCCGCTGGGGAGGGGCAGAGAGAGCATTGGGTCTGCAAGATGCTCAGCAGCACGTCTCTCGCTGCTTGATGCCAAGGGGCAAGGAGGAAGAGGCAGACCTCCAGGTGCACCCCAACATGCAGACTGAGGCCAGCCAGGTGCCCTGCCAGCTTTTGCTCCCCATCTGCCCATCTCCCTCAGCCCGAGACAACCCAGCTCGTCCCAGTCTCGGAGCTGGCTGCTGCCACACCCCAAAGCTGCACCGTGGCCTCCGCCAT